CACATTACAGGAGACATCAGCCCAGCACGAATTTCAGTCACGAGAAGATCGAGTTTCCCTCTTTGATGGCCAGTACTGTCGGGGACAGGAGCTCAGGTGAGATAGCCTAAACTGTCGGCAAACTTATCAGCCCTTGCAATTTCTGCAGAAGCCTTGCAGAGGATTTAGGGTTTTCATTAAAACCCCACATCTTGATGTCACCTGGTGACTGATGAGTTTCAGCTTCCATTAAAAAAGGGAGGAAGGAGTTAGGGATGAGAAAGTAAAAAAAGAAAGCATATACATTTCTTCTAATCTTGTAAGCTCTTGAGCCAGTGCAATTTGAAGATTTGTTAAAATGTGTATCATTGGCAATAGCACCACGACATGATCGTGGCAAGGACCTCTTGCAGGGACCCCTTGCGTAGGGACACTGGCCCAGAATTAAAGGCTGTTCCTGTTAGGCCAGGAAGGGAACGACACAAACCCAGACGAGTTCAGGTGAATTCAGAGCGGTAGGTCAAGGTGCCAGAGAGGGGCGCTAAGCGGGGGGAATCCCGGCAGGCATGCCCTGCTCCTCAAACAAGGCCAGGGGAACGCAGGAGATGCGGGAAGCAAAAGGAACGGAAACAGATGTCACGCAAGTCCCCAGTGCCCACTACAGTGAAACTTTCATCTCTCTGTATTGTGAAAGTCCAGCTGGGCCAGACTGTCCAGGAGACCGACAGGAGGTCCCAGTGCATTGGGTCATCTCCACAGAGGAGAGCAGTTTTGCATCGCCGAGCACAGGATGAGACGAGAGCATCACTCAGACCCCGCTGCTCCCCACCACTGCCCCACTGACTGGCAGAGGACACAGCTGCCCTCAGTGGGGTGACAGGAATAGAGCGCCTATTGCCCTGCACAGGCATCAAGCCCTCCTGGAAACCCACTGCCAGGCGCTGCTGACCTCCAGCGTGTGGCATCATGGTGGACGGTTTAAACTGACCACGCGACCCTGCCACAAGGCCTCGCGCTCTCCCTGCTGCTAGCTGCGGTGCCTGTCCGACCCACAGGGCCCGGGCACAGGACATTAAACTGGCAGGGTGCTTTCTTGGTGGGCTAGTTTCCCTTCCTGAACCTGCCACTCAAAGAAAAAAATATATATATTAATGACCCCTTTTTGAGGGGGTAGGGTTATTTTTAATCCTGGATCTTTTCACTGATCCAGTTTGCTGATCTGGATCTACATAGTCAGGCAGGAGGCCCCATTTCTAAGCTCCACGCTGCAGCCAGCAATTTCTTTAACGAAAAAGAATTAAAGGAATGTACAAATCTCAGAGAAAAGGATGTTTCCAAAAAAAGTACGGGAGACAGCACAGCCTGCCCTAGTTTATTATCCCTTCTAAACTGCATCCCAGCTTTTTTGGTTTGTTTTTTCAAGATGGCCTCTGCGCCCTGTCCCGGACGAAGTGCGCGTTCGCCTTCTCCCTCTGCGGTCGCTGCCCCGGCCCCGGGGGCCGCAGCGCAGCGCGGCTCCCTG